TGATTTTGTGTTAAGAACTTGTGCACAAAGTACTGTTGTAAAATTTTAAATAAGCAATCATCTGGGGTCCAGGAATGGATTAATCCATTTTACATTAATTCCTATGGGGAAAATAGTTTCGGTTTACGAACGACCTTCAGGAACGAATTAAGTTCGTGAATCGAGGTTTGACTGTATTATGGACGGAAAACTTCGCATCCATACGTGTACTACTGAAAGACAACAATGTCAATGTGGCAGGAACTCTGCAATTGAACAGGAAAAATGTTCCTGCCTCAGTAAAGAAACAAAAGGCTGAAAAAGGGTAAAGCAATAGCTTTGCACTGCAATGGTGTAAGTTATGAAATGGACAGATAAAAGAGATGTTTCCTTTATTTCAAACATCCATGTCAATGCTATGGTAACTAAACTTTAGAGGAAATAAACTTACAAAACTTAAATGAATAACAGAGTACAAGAAACCCATGGGAGGAGTTAAGAAATATCAAATGTATATACTTAGTCACCATGAAAGCTTCAGATGAAATATCAAATGATTCAACCATGCCGCCTTGAAAGAAAAAGGGCAGAATGTGCAAAAGACTGTTGAATTCAGCAGTTCACAATGTATTTGCCATGTAGAATACAAAATTAAACACACTCAACCTTACATGCAGATTGGATTTGGTGAAATGTCTCATCCTTACTCACAGACCACTAATCCCAAGTCCTGCTTGACCCAGACAGCCATTCATCAATCTCCCACCAGGAAAACTTACAGGAATGCATTTCATTTGGAAAATTCCTCCAGAGAACAATTTAAATACTGCCTAGGGTCTGAGCTGCAGGCAATTCAAATACGAACATGAAGAGATAAAAATTGTCTGTTCATTGAAGCTCAGTGAAATTTATGCCTTTGGCACACAATATCAACAAAGATGTCATATGGTATGGATAGTCTACTTTGATTATGCCACAGATGGCAAGCAAAGTTAAATACAGCGAAATCCCCCATTTAAGGTTCTATGCAGGAAAATAAACAAAACCCATCCCCCTGGGGAACCTTAAATGTAAGGAATTAAATATATTCTCCACAATTTAATTAATTTATTCTCTACATTCTAATTTTTCAAATATGTCCAATATCCCACATAATTACATTTGTTGACATATTCTACTTAATACCTGATTATCATTATTTTTATTCTTATCATGTCTGTGTTGTTGGAAAGTCACTGGCTTTGTTTCAATGTTGGAATTTTAAGGCATAAGCTACATTGCAATTTCTTGCATAATTCCTGGCAATTCAACTGTACATTAATAATAACAATATGTTTATAAACTTTTTCTTATCATTCTTCAATGCTACTGTATACATAAATACTGAAAATAAGGGTGAAAAAGAATACTTTGCTTTACTTCATCAATAGTTTCAGTTGTCATAGCATAACAAACTGTACTCACGACTTGCAGCCCTATCAACAGCTACAAACAGAGGATATTCCTGACTTAGAACTGCTGGATCACTGATCACTTCCATCTTTATATCTGTGTTCTGAAACACATTACGAATATACTTCTCAACATTAGGAGGAGCCATTCTCTCTGGATCAGATCCACCAATATCACGAGCAACAGACCTGGAAAAATACAGAAACCAATCCAGTATTTTAAATACTATATTATAATTCAAACTGTTCACATACACAATATTTTTAGTTTAATTTTTCATGTTTAAGGTGTCAAGAAAACTGTTGAATATCTCTGCTTGTCTATATGTAGGAATAATTTCCACTGTGTTACATTATAACAGAAATATCATTCCTTCTAAAGTTGTTAATAATATACTTAAATTTGATACATACCAGATAAATTGCCCTACTATTTTACACAAAGCTGCAAATCTGGATGATGGAAAATTGTCATTATATAATACAGAGGGGCCCAAAAAAATGTATACACACTTCAACAAAACAAAAACCTTTATAAAAGCTTTAATACTAAATTTATACAGACATCAAGGGATGACTATAAGTCATGTTTGACTTCTACAATTATAACAGGTGCTCAAAGTGGTCACCATTAGTGTCCAGACACTTCTGATTTCGGCGAACTACAGCTTGAGCAACGTTGGCCAAAGTGTCCACTGAGATTGCTGCGCATGAAATTTCAATTTCTTGACTGTCTTGTCGGTCGCATGGTGACTCTAGCATTAATGTGATTAACGACATCTTTTGAGGGAACATCATACTACACATTGCTACCGTAACTCGATTCAACTTCGAAAAAAGTCCATAGATAACATCTATTAAAGTGTGTATACATTTTTTTGGGCCCCTCTGTATATTAAAAGACTTTCATAAAGTATTCAGCCTTGTAATATCTGTAATGTTCTCCATTTTGCTACTATTAATCCTACTGCTCGAATGCCAGCACAGACAATAAGTTTCCTGTCTTCTCTTGTGACAGCAGTTGTGAACAAACTTGGCTAAGACATGCCTTATTCCCAACTCTGGTTAAAACAGGTTAACATGAGCTGTGAGAAAATCCTACCTCTTCAGTCATTTCACAAATAGTCAATATTTTATCATTTCACACTGAATCATTGCACTTCAGCCACTCATTCATTGTGATTATTGGTTGAATAATATAAATTTTACTTGATAATTATCATTCCTTAAAATGATGGTACCACTCAAAAACACATGCTCAATTCATTGTTGTAACTCTAATGCTATTTATACTAATTGGCAAGTTTCAGTTGTTGCCTTTCTGACATCATTGTAAAACTTCATGCACAAGCGTTCTTTACTTTTACACATCATTAAAATAACCTGTGGCAAAACACTGACTATAATAAGCAATGAAGCAATGTAGTAGGCTGAAAGCACATCTGGACATGTAGTAACATGGCAGGACATATTAATTTCAGCTGTATCCACTGAACAGTGTAATTTATGTTAGATATGAATTCAGCCTTGAAAATTCACACTTCATGTCAGGGTAAAAATTGAATTAGCAATAAAATTTGTGCAATTATTATTTCAGTTTATAACTGTTGGCAGTAGTATACATGTCCAGTTTCTTTCTTACAACTGAACACACCTGATATGCCACTTTTTTCTTGGCCTCTCTGACTTCAGGAGAAGATAAACTGCACCTTCTCCCTGAGTAAAACCACTGATTACACAATTACAAACCATTGTGCAATCTGGTTTAGGCCCTAACAATAATGCTTTGCTTTCTTATGCCAGATAAATACCACGTGGACTAACAATAATTATGATATAATGAGAAAATAAATCCTAGCAAGCCAGACAAGACCTTTAAAAATTTATATATTACCAAGAAAAAGTAACAAAATATATATCCCTAACAGAAGAAATTAGGCAAATGTAGCAAAAAAGTTAGGTTTACTTCTATGCCCCAATGGAAACATCCAAAAGTGTCCACAGTAGAATCAAATGTATTGAGCTACAATAGCATATCTATCTAGACTCAACATAAAAATCAGTGATAAGTCATCTGCTCTAGAGTTTGCATATTCTTAAAAGGCTATATCATTTTGCAATGAAGATACTCATATTTTACATAACACATATCATGCATACTTACTGTACATAAATTAAATCTGTATTTATTGTAGCGCAAGTGACACATTTGTTGTGTAAGATTTGAGGTTTTCACAATGGTGAATATGAAGATTTTTGTCTTCTGGGTTGTTGCGCTGTGTAGTCTGGTCGATATTAACCAACGTTTCAGAGGTCATACTGTC